AAAGAACAAACAGTCGAATTGAGTACCGTCTCCTTTTTTGAATATAGTTTTCGCATAATAGCTTTAGAAGTTAGGACTTTAATTTTTCTATACAATATGTTTTAGAACCTAATTCTGAATCTGTATTAATTTGTTTCTTTCAGTCATTTGAAGTCAGTTAAAAAAGTTTGGAAACATAAACTAATAAAAGATGTTAAAAGTTAATCAGCTTAGATCTGACCCTGATCAGCTAAGACTGGCCACTAAACTTAGCGGTCAGCCATCACAGAGTCTACTTCACCTCAGGATGCCTCCTGTAGATGTGAAACACGTGTCGTATAATCGACGGTAGTGTGCCTTTACTGGTGTGGTAATGTTGAGATTAGTAGTGGCATGGATAGTGCACGTATTGAGGGACGGCGGGAGGTACTCTTCAGAGTAGATAAGACACATCCTTTTATTTTATTATTTTTACCATCTTTAACATAATGGATTTTCATAAAGTAACGATTCTATTTATTAACATCAAATAACATTTCTACCTTTCCCGTTTGCTTTTGGGTTTTTGCTATCATAAAAGGAACAACTGGGACCGCTGGAATACAAGAACCTATAGGTGAAAAATAAGTTCACAGTCCACCTGATGGTAAGTGGTTGCTGTGGCCCATAGACATCTACATTTATCCTCGTTTGCGAATCAAAATGCAGATGCGTTGCCACCCATGAGGACTAAGATGGAATGCTTCGTTTCCAGTAAAAAAGGGTCTTCGGTTCTCTACATTCACCATACGAAACAAGCAGTATTAAGCTGATATTCTGTGAGACCGTGGCCCTTTCCCGGTCGAGCCGACCCATTCGTGCTACAACTATACTACTAATATAGCTGCAGCATGGCTCTACCACGTATAAATGCTGACTTAGCAGTCAGCCATCGCAGAGTCTACTTCACCTCAGGATGCCTCCTGTAGACGTGAAACACGTGTCGTATAATCGACGGTAGTGTGCCTTTACTGGTGTGGTAATGTTGAGATTAGTGGTGGCATGGATAGTGCACGTATTGAGGGACGACGGGAGGTACTTTTCAGAGTAGATAAGACACATCCTTTTATTTTATTATTTTTACCTTTTTAACATAATGGATTTTCATAAAGTAACGACTGATTCTATTTATTAACATCAAATAACATTTCTACCTTTCCCGTTTGCTTTTGGGTTTTTACTATCATAAAAGGAACAACTGGGACCACTGGGATACAAGAACCTATAGGTGAGAAATAAGCTCAAAGTCCCCCTGATGGTAAGTGGTTGCTGTGGCCCATAGACATCTACATTTATCCTCGTATGCGAATCAAAATGCAGATGCGTTGCCACCCATGACGACTAAGATGGAATGCCTCATTTCCAGTAAAAAGTGTTTATCTCTATACTCACCATACGAAACATAGCAGCGTTAAGCTGCTATTTTAAGTGTAAAATAGCAGCTTAAAGCCAGTGGGCTTTACAATGGCTAACATGCTCAATGATTAATATAGTAATTGAAAAAAACCCGGCTACGTAAAAAGTTTACTGAAAAGAATAAAGTTTTATATCTAATATCACTCACACAATTAATACAAATCTAACTACACCTCATAATGTTATAATTTAAAATTAAAAATGTTGTACAGCCGACTTCAATATAAGTTATTAAGAATAACTCAAATAAGTCAAAAAATATGTGTCTGACCTTGATCAAATTCATATGGGACCACACGAGAAGTATCAGCTTTCATCGAAATCGGTTCACCCAGTAAAAAGTTATGAGGTAACACACCTAAAAAAAATATACGCGTCGAATTGAGTACCGTCTCCTTTTTGGAAGTCGGCATAAAATCAATCAAGCCGTTTAGACTACAGAGCGTGCGAAAGAAATAGACATACATACATTCTCACGAAAGATCATAATCTCCTGTAGCAGTCGAGTAACAAAGTTTACGCTTTCCGCGCCCGTCTATTTCCCAACAAGTGTTTCACGACACTTATAACAGTAGAACACATGCCATTCATACGTACGGCGCAGTAACTATTATTTATTCTGTGGCAGTAATCAGATTTTTGTCACAGATAAGCAACACGTGACAATTTTGCTACATTTAAAATACTGTTAACGGGACAAGTCTTACTAAAAATCGACTCAATTTTAATGTGCATAAAGTGCGTTATTGGTTTTCATAATAGCAAAACGAACATCGTCCGATTGATTTATAACAAGAAGACACTTGTCCAAATGATTTCTTAGAAACATACGTCACGTAACGTGTCCAAAGGCGATTATATGTTCATAGAAATGTGAACTATATTCCTTCAGGATAAAGTTACAATATTGCTTGCTCGTATTATAATAGAGCTAGTTTGACTGAATCATCATCCTACACATATCGGAATTCCGTTTTGAATCGTTAAAGATGATGAAATCTTTAGTAATTACTTGTATATGCGGGTGCTCGGGCTGGCGATGATTGGAAGACTGGATTTGATTCTTGACCCCATCTAGAGGGCTCTAGTGTCTTGTGGCTGAATTAAAAAAGTTTTGTTTTAATTAAACAGTTATCGAAACCAATAAAGAAGTAGGCAGTGAATTTTTAGTGTTAATGAACTAGTTACTGCCCGGTTATTTATTATAAGTATAATTTTGACTGTTAAATTTTATAATTGGGTGATAAAAATTTAAATTTTTCTAATACAGGTCGATTGACGTGGGCAAGTATGTATTTTTCCTAGAATATCAAAAGTTAAAAACTAAATTTCTTAAAAACTTACTTATAATAATATGTTATATTTAGTTTATTAATAATATACTTTCCAAAAATAACACATATACCATACATATATTTAATATAGTACAAATGAAAACATATGTCATAACTAAAATAAAAAACAAATTAATTACAAATCTAATTTTAATCAAAAATATTAGATATTAATCAAATACAATATCATAGTTAATTAAGTAATTTAGAGCTAATTGGTATACTTGACGTCGTGCACGTAACACCCACCCTGTATGAATAGAGCCGGTTGGTATAAAAGGGTTGCTGGAAACAAGACGTTCGTACTCCAGATTAAACGATTTGACTGACAACAGCTAGACAATCTCCTAGTTTATCTGATATACGTGAAATTTTATTACGGAGGCTTTCTGTGTTAACGAAGTTTCAAGCGAGGTATGTGCAAAGTTTAATTAAAATATAAATTAAACTAAACTTAAATTTCATTTGAGTGAAACTACATCAAATTTAATTGCAGTTTTTGAGTATTTTCTTTAATTAATGAGTTATATTTATTGAATTTTATATATATGAGTTTCTTTACTTTATTTATTTAAAGATTTTTGTAATTTTTCTTTAATAAAAATATGTATTTACTATTTAGTCATTTTGTAATAAGTAAGGTTTAATGTAGCTTACAAATATTGAAATAAAATATCAATAAAAAGCCTAATATAATAAATTTAAATATAATATTTTTTTTATATTTACGTATTTAAAGCAATTTTTTTTAAATTTACATTAAACAAAATTTAAGGTATTATAATATTAATATATTTATCATAAAATTTTGTCTCCAAACTTATGTTCTTCTAACTACAGCTTTGAATCTATGTTTCCAAGCTGCTTGCTCCAAGCTTTTTCGAAAATATTTTATGATACGATATTACATTCGGAAATACGTTATTACTTGAAAGGTTGCCACGTTAATTATGATATTTTAACACCTCCCTACTTTTATTCCTTATTGCCTAACATTAAGTGCGCCTTGTGTAACCAGCGGAGCTTGGCGTGCCTTAGAGGGGACCTGTATCAAAATTTGTCGGGGGGCCCAAATGAAGGGTAAAGATTTTTCACAAAGGGAACAAAAATTCGCATTGAATTAAAATAATTATATATTGATTATAAGTTATTACTTACAATGAATACTCCTAGGAACTAACCTAGACAAACAATTCAAACCAACATACTGTCCTATAGAAGTCTTTAGAATGTTTGCTTACACACGTTCGGGGTTTCTGCAGCCCGGGGGCTCCGTATCATTGATGCGGCTGTTACGACGGTAGCTACGCCCCTGTTTGTAACCCTTAGTTAATGGTAGCTTAAAAATTTAAATAAGTGAATAAAAAATACTCCAAAACACTAATGATCTGAAATAATATGATTTAGTGTTATATGACTTTAATATTTTGAATTAATATAATATTATGTGCTGTTATTATTATTGTCCACATATTATCGTAAATAATAAATATTTATTTACAATTTGATAAATTTGATAATTTAGTTTTCATTTATGTACGAAAATTTTATTTTTTCACCGACTATGCTATCGAATTTTTCATGGTGCGAGTTTAAGGAGTACCTGTATCTAATTTTAAATATATATTATGATATTCTAGATAAGAATTATATAGGGTTATGATATGATATTTAGTTATGTTTTCAGGAAGAGACAAACTTTTTTTTTATTTAAATATATATCAAAGGCCTGTAACGGTTATAAAACTTTCATAAATCATGATTATTTTATCCCCTGAAAACATGACGCTTATATATTACAGTGTCGTATTTTGTTTTTACTGTGTAGTTTCCGTCTTTTGCAATACAAATGAATGCTGAAAAATATTTCAGCTAAATTTGACGAAACATGCAAGCCTTTTTTATACAAATATTCTCGTTGATTTAATCTGAGAAAAATTATCTACAATCGAATTGAAAATGATTTTTTTTATTTAAATATTCCTATAATACCAAATTACCAAACTATTACAGTAAAAAAACACACTATTTAAAACGATGCATGGTCATATATTAACATGATGTATGTCCTACATATGTTTATGTAAGAAAAACTAGAACACAAAGAGTTAAATATTAAAAATATTGATTCTGATTCAAATAAGAAAAAATTTTATGTAAAAAAAAAAAATTATTGTTTTGTTTCAGGCTACGTCATAACCCCCGCCACGACATCTGTTATCAACTAGCAAAATGATTAATTTAGTTTTACTACTCGTCGCAGCAGCGCTAGTATCGGCGCAATTCTCTTTCGAAGCCAACGCTCAAATTGACAACACTAAAGTTGACATGGATAATAATTTACAAGGTAATTGTAAGTAAAATATTTTTTGTAATATATTTTCCGTTGTAAAATGAAAGGAATTGTTTAGAAAAACTACTCTGATGCTTCTTGTAGTATTTCTAAGACCTTATCAAAGATTTCGGTTTAACAACTACTGATCACAAGTGATAAGTGATCAGGTTATCACTTGTGATAAGTGATCAGGTGTCAAAAAGCACGAATGTTAAACTTAAACTTAACTTACTTAACTCCTTGGTCGGAGGTGTAGTTGAGGCCCCCGAATAAATTGACCATCTGCGGCTGAAATTGACTTGCAAATCGCGCCGGCCCAAAGTGGGGTCATTACAAAGTTAAATAAGTTATTCTGCACTGAATTAAAATTGAACTGCGGCTGAAATTCTGTCAGGTTACGACATAAATATTCCGATACGACGATGAGTGTGAAAATCACGAGATTTGTTAGGTGATAGGACTCTTTCTGTCTTAGAATTTGTCTGGGTTACACTATAAACTTTTTCTACCACGTAATAGCAGTGCTTGCACAGCTGTGTTCCGGTCTGTGTTTCTTAAGCGGGCTGGCAACGTTAGAAAAGTTAGGCAAGTGCCTACTTACATAATTTGTTTTCTTCTACAGAGGTACAGCTTCCAAAGCAAGCCCTCTCTACTTAATTACTTCTACATCTCCCTTATTCTCTCATCACATCACTAATTATTTTACAACTAAACTAAAACATAAGTTAATTGTCAAAATAAGCAATTATAATTTATAATATATGACCGCCATAAGGTGCTAGCTTAGGACGCAGTCGACATTTAATCCGCATTTGACCCCACGGTGGTAACCAGGGCAGTTCCAATGGCATAGCTGCGTTACTGGCTACCGTCAGCACTCTCGCAGTGATCAAACCTCCCTACAAGAACGGCCCACACCTAACAGTGGACATTAACGTACCCACAAAGAAAGAAAAAAGAAGCATATTGTTAATCTCCAATTTAAATCCCTTCCAGTGTTACCAACCCAACGCAGGCGCCTTCGGAAGTACGTCCGGATCTCAATACCGCCACCAGAGCGCGCTCGCTTCGTTTCCGGGAAGAGGCTGGAGCTAGAGTGCGAAGCGATGGGCTCACCAGCGCCCTCTGTGCACTGGCTGTTGAACGACGAACCAGTAATTGATGTAAGTTTTTAAAATTTCTATTTTCATACACGGCATAAATACGTTGCAGTATGAATAGGCTGCTTTGAGATGAATGAACACGTTTTAATAGAAAAAAAAACCACCGTAGATCACGCGGAATACCAGCGAAAAATAGTTGGTAGCTTAATGCCGCTGTGTTTCGTGTGGTAAGTGTATAGAACCGGAGGCCCTTTTTACTGGAAAAGAGGCATTCCATCTTATTGCTCACGGGTGACAACGCATCTACATTTTGATTCGCAAACGAGGATAGATGTAGATGTCTATGGGCCACAGCAATCACTTAACATCAGGTGGACTGTGTGCTCGTTTGACACCCACCCTATCCTATAAAAAAAAATGAAATATTCCATCTTAGTCCTCAGGGGTGACAACGCATGTTCATTTTGATTCATAATTGAGGATAAATGTAGATGTCTATGGTCCTCAAAACCGCCATCTGTCTACTGTCGAGAACCATTCTTAACACAATCATTTAAGCTTGCGAGGATTGATTAATGGGAATATTAGTAATGCTAATAACATTGCTACTATTTTTAAATGGTGCTGATTTACCACGTGCTCTGTGGTTAAGGAAACTTCGGGAAGAACCTGCATGTATGTGGAATAAAATATTTTGAGATAATTTATTGCTTCAATACCCTTTCAGAAAGGAGAGGAGGCCTAGAGAGATAACGTAAATAGGATTTAACTTTTATATAAAAACACTTTTATAAAAACGCGTGACAAACGAGCACACAGTCCACCTGATGGTAAGTGGGTGCTGTGTCCCATAGACATCTACATTTATATTCAATTAAGAATCAAAATGCAGATGCGTTGTCACCCCTGACGACAAAGATGGAATGTATAGTTTCCAGTAAAAATGTTCACCGGTTTTCTACACTCACCACACGAAACACAGCAGCATTAAGCAACTATTTTACGCTGGTATTCTGTGACAGCTTGTCCTACCCCGGTCGAGCGGACATGCAAAAAATATATCTAACTAAACTGGCTCGGGAGACGTTTTTCCGCCCCTTCCTGCAGTTGGCGTGACGGATTTCACTCCGAAATCGCTCCGGAATTTTCTAGTACAAATATAATATTAAAAAAAACTGTGTAATAGCGGTATAACGATATCTAATACACCATAACGTCATGTTGATATCGTAAGAGGCGACAGAGGGAAACATCTTCCTGATAACTACTTACAAATAACCTATAAAAACGCCTGCAACTAAGGCCAAATATCACCTATGAGACAATCTATAGGGGAGGCCTATGTGCAGCAGTGGACTATATGCTGTAATGAATTGATGTATAGAAGATAATCTACCAGGAGCACATGACCCACTGAGAGATGAAATTATTAAGCTATGGCAAATATTCCCTCTATGAGGCAAACTATAGGGGAGGCCTACGTTCAGCAGTGGACTTTTATAGGCTGTAATCGATGATATACATTTTATTAATAACTAGACCACAGTGCCACCCGTCCAGATTTTTTGATCCTCTTTTCTGGCACTTACCACGATATACTTTTAATATGAGTCATTTTGACTGCAGCGCCATCTATCGAATCCTAGCTGTGAACTATCCTCCCGATAAAATTAACATAATTTATTTCAACTCATAAACCTCTATATAATTTTAAGTGTACTGACAAAATGGATTTAGATTTAGGTACCTGAATTATGAATAAATATGTGAAAAAATTATATTGCGTAAATATGACCTTAATTGGTCAAGTATTTTATCGGATTATTGGAGCCTTGACATACTGTTAAGAAAAGTCATTGAAACTTTCGAATTTCAGTACGAAGAAGAAGCCAACGAGATCCCGACCAGTCATCCCTCGAACCTCGCGCGTCTCACCAGCAAACTCATTGTCCCATCGGCCCGGGATGGAGACGTATTCACATGTGTAGCGACTGCCGGGATCAAAGAGGACTCAGCTTCCACCACCATCTACTCAGAAGGTACCCTTAGCTGTAAAAAAAAATAATACTCTTAGTTCTTTTTTATAAAATAAGAGTGACAAAAGTCTCCGGTTCTCTACACTCACCATACGAAACACAGTAGCATTAAGCTGCTATTTTACGTTGATATTCTGTGAGAGCGTGGTACCTACCCGGTCGAGCTGACCCATTCGTGCTGCAAGCATAATATAGCTGTGTGGCTCTTCCACGTAAAAAGTATTATATAGGTTGTTATAAACACTCACGGTTGCCACTCAGATGGGTAGGCAGAAACTACGGACTTCCATCTGGCAAGATCCTGACACACCTCTCTCGCCTCCTTTACATCCATATATCGCATAGGTCGGTTAAGGGTACTCTCAATCTGGCCCACTTTAATTATATCGCCAATTTGGTCGATAAACATTTGTCTAGGGCTTCCCTTCCAGACTCGGACGTTCACTTCTGCAACATAGATTTGCTTTGTCACTCTTTCCTCGTTCATTCTTTCTACATAAACAAACTACCTAAGCATTCCTTTCTTAATCCTGTTCACACTTTTATCTTCAGCTCTAACATACATTATGTAGGTTGTTATTTTTATTTGCATTATTTTATTATTTTCAGGCGCAGAAACACCTCAACTGCTGACTCTAGAAAAATTGTTCAGTATCCCATCAAAACCTGTCATCACCACCTTTTACAATGACGTACTGCAAGAGATCGGTACCACACTGATCCTGCCGTGCCGAGTGTACAGTCAAACCGAACACCAGGTCTTCTGGCAGGACAGTCGAGCCAATCTGGTCTATAGCAACTCGAGGATACGGGTAAGAGATGTTATGATCGTCATCATCATCATCATCATCAGGCCATAAACTCCACTGCTGGCTTTTTTTCAATGTAGGGAGAATTTGCCTTAATCGCCACGTTTGGCTTAGGGTTGAATTAACAAATATTTCGCACATTTGATGCTGCTGCCATCTACCGGCTATCTATCGAAAGGCATAAGAATTAAATATATTAAGCATTAATTGATTAAGATCCGCGTAGCAACTGCACTGTAAAGAGGAAACCGTCGATAACACGACATGTGTTTCGCCTCTATACATCGTCAGGTGAAATAGACTCTGCGCTTGCTGACCGCTAAGGCAGGAGTGGTGGTGTTGGGATTAGTGATAACAAAGATAGTGCACGCAATTGAGGGACGGCAGGTGCTAGTATAGCCGCCTCTTACTATATCCACGGGACGAAATGGGGTGATTGATATGAGAAATTACCATTAGTAACAAAATATGTGTCGTGTAGTAGTGACGTAAGAAATCCATTTATCCACTATATCCAGTTGGTACAGACTCCCCCTTTTTGCAACTTCCTACATCACTGACTACGATGGAATATTTTTTTATAATTTAAAAATATTATTATCAAAAGTAATTTTCACATTAACCACTCATTAAATAATTTTTTACAAAATACCACATTTTATCAACCAGGTGCTGCCATCTGGTGACTTATTAATTGCCGGCTTGCGTTGGGCGGATATGGGCGAATGGACGTGCACCGCTAAAAACATGTACGGGAAAGATTCCGCTACTACTTTCCTCTACCCAACGAAACCTAGGCAACAGGTAAAAATATAAAACCTTTTTTGTAAAAAATTGGCATAGAGAGAACATATTTATTTCGAATTATTAAAATTCAATTTACTAATTGATTAAATTTCGATTATAATGTTGCTATGTAAGCTATAAAACTTATATCGATTAATGCTAATAAACACAACGTTTGAAACGCTACAAAATAGTTTGAATTGGTTATGAAATAACGTTGCTACTCACTACTAGATGGCGCTGTAAGTTAATAATGCGGCAATTCTTTTCATTTACAAACATTTGCTAAGTAAAAATTTAATAAAAGGTAGCACCACATGACTTCACCATCGGTCTATAAACAGTCCACTATTGGACACAGACATTTCCGTAAGTACCTCTATTGCTAAGAACCGTTGTAGCACAGGAACTTAGTCCTCGCCGTACCCGACCAACGGGGTTCGATTCTAGACAACACCAATTAAATTTTAATTTGTTAAGTGCTATATTACCCCGTACAGGGGACATGGGATCGTTGAAGCCCATCATAACGCACAGGAACAGCGCGGCAAGCAAACTACTCCATAACCCATTCAGACCTTTGACTGCCTTTTTATAAATCTGATCCCAAGTTCGAATTTGGCAGTGTTCCATCCCCCCTCTGCCCCCCCGCTGCTGGGAGGAGCAGACAGTCCTCCTGATGGTAAGTGGTTGCTGTGGTCCATAGACATCTATATCTATCCGAATCAAAATGCAGATGCGTTGTCACCCGTGAGGACAAAGATGTAGTGCCTCGTTTCCTTTAAAAAGGGTCTCCGGTTCTCTACACTCACCATACGAAACACAGCAGCATTGAGCTGCTATTTGACGCTGGTATTCTGTGAGAGCGTGGTCCTGCCCCGGTTGAGCCGACCCATTCGTACTGCAACTATACCTACTACTAATATAGCTGCAGCATGGCTCTATCAAGTGACGTGGTATTCTGTGAGAGTGTAGTCCTTCCCGAGTTGAGTTGACACATTCATGCTACAACCAAAATATAGCTGCAGCATGACTGTACCACATTAAAATAATAATATTAACAAATAATATCATTATTTAATTATTTTTATTTTTTTTACAGTAAATTGACAGTAAAACGCCGACCAAGAAATTTACCCGCCGATTTCAAATGAAAAAAATCTCTATGTTCCTATACTTAAGTGTCATTTAAGGTTTTAAAGTTAAAATAATTTAATTTATTATTAGTGTAAGTAATAGATATATTAGATATTGCTCTCGTGAATGTATTATATTGCAACTAATGTATTTTTATAATAATTGTAACTCGATGTTTTGTGCCAAACCTAGCTTAAGATGGTTACTACATAACAGTGACAGAATTTCTGCATTTATTTAGGTTAATGAACAAATATCGCTATAAGATTCAATACATTTTTCGTAAATCATTTGATGAACTAGTTTGAAGAACGATCTATAGAAAGGAAATATTTTTATTCCATATGACTTGTTAATGATACTTAGTTGAAAAGTCTTTCTTTGGAAAACCGGCAGCAACTAACGGAACTTTATATATTTTTTAATACAATCTTTCTTAATAGAGCCTTTAGATCTTTTCTATATTCTCTTAAAACTTAAATGTAAGTGACATAAGTCATACACGCATGGAGCCTTAAAAATTTTATTATGTATCGGTAAAATTAATTTATTTTCAAAGAAATTTTTAAATTATTGTGTAATGTAACAAAATAACAATTTTATTTAAAAAGTAGATAATAATTTGTAATATTCAGTCAGTGTTTTATAATTTAATGACGTTTTAATATAATTTTATTTAATTTAAGTGTTAAGAGTTATTTATTTTAAGTTTAGGCTGTTTAAACTTTGTAATCTCACATAGAAATTTCAAAGGGAATTCAGTATTTGTATTCAAATGTACTTAATCATTTAAAAAAGGCTCAACAATTATTTTTTTGTATAAGCTTCGATGTAACACACTCCTTTTGTAAAATACAATATAGAAACTATTCAAGAAATCAACTAGAACTTATTCTGTCTTGGACAAAATATTTGTTCACTGCACACTAATGTGTAAAAACCTTTACAGTCGTTTGCATTTTGTATAAAATAATTTTTAATACATATTGTATATTGTTATTTACTTTCTTCCGTTACTCAATTGTTAAAAAATTTTTGCAAATCAATAGAAAAAAAAGGACTGAAAGAACTGAGAATGTTACTGAAATAATTTATTCTATATATTATATTTATATATTTATTTTATATATTAGTTTTAGTTTAAATATTATGTTTTGTTATAGTTCTGAGCTTTTTTAGTCTATAAGATTTATCTAATTATATGTTGTCAATGTTATACACAAAGTTTTATTACTATAACCGTTTTATTTATTTTTTTTTTATAGGAGAGGGGGCAAACGAGCATTGCGGCTCATCTGATGGTAAGTGACTACCGCCGCCCATGAACAACTGCATCACCAGGGGAACCAGGGGAATTGCAGATGCGATGCCGGCCTTTTAAAAAGGAGTAGGCTCTTTTCTTGAAGGTCCCTAAGTCGTATCGGTCCGGAAAAATCGCTGGTGGTAATCGATTCCACAAGGAAGTCGTGCGAGGAAGAAAACATCTTCTAAATCGCACAGTGGTGGACCGCCAATCATCCAGATGGTGTGGATGGTATCGGGAGTTCTGCCGCGATGTGCGTTCGTGTAATTTGGCGGCTGGGATTAATCCGAACAATTCCTCAGAGCACTACCCGTGGTAAATGCGAAAAAAATTCAAAGGGATGCAATATCTCTTCGCAGTACCAATGTACAAAGTCGTGGTTTGCTTCGCAAATATTCACAGTTTCTAATCTAAGTTTTACAAAAAATTACGATAAAAAATTATTGAAAAAACGCTTATTCATTGTCGTGGTACTTTATTTTTCAACCGACTTCAATGGAGGTACTCAATTCGACTGTATATTATATGTGTGTTACCTCAGAACCTTTTTCTAGGTGAAACGATTTAGATGATATTTATTTGAAAGCTGGTGCTTCTTAGGTGGTCTCACATAAATTTGATCAAAATCTGACCGGTAGTTTTTGAGTTATCCTTAATAATGCGTATAATTTGACTTCGACTACATTGATAATGTTCTCATTTATTTATATTGAAGTCGGTTGTACAAAATTTTTAATTTTATCACTTGTGATAAAACTAAAGTGACAAAATAACTTACAGTTCATTGGATTATACCTTATAACTTTAAGCAAAGAAAGCTAAAGATGCGTTGTCAGTTTTGATGACTGAGATGGAATGTTTCACAGCCTGTAATTGTATAGCACAGACACTGCTCGCAGCAGTAAGGTTTGGCCACTCCGTAGCGTAGTAGTTTCGCGAAGAGCTGCGTTGCTGACGATTGCAGGTTCGAATCAAACACAACCAAACAAAATATGTATTTGGATGGCCTACAAATATGCGTCACTAACGCCGCAAAGGGGCGAACCTCAATTTTCTGCCGACTTCCAAAAAGGAGCCGGTACTCAATTCGACTGTATGTTTTTTTTTTATGTGTGTTACCTCAGAACTTTTTTCTGGGTGAACCGATTTCGATGATTCTTTTTTTATTTGAAAGCTGGTACTTCTCGTGTGGTCCCATATGAATTTGATCAAGGTCAGACCAATAGTTTTTAAGTTATTCTTAAATAACTTATATTGAAGTCGGCTGTACAAAATTTTTAATTTTAAATTATTAAAAATTACAGGAGAGCAAGAAAACATTTACTATTCCCCGATGAGTAGCTTTTTATCATCATAAAATTAAATATATTAGATTTAATGGAAAACTACAAATGAGAATTATCTGGTGATAAAAAGCTAGCAATCTGGAATAATAAATGTTTTCTTGCAGTCCTGTAATTTGAAAAAAATGGTAATAATTATAATTCTTTATTATCAAAAATAAATCACAAAAATTTATAAAGTCTGACTCCTAAACTAGACAAGTCTGTATCATAGGAATTTTGAAGTCTGTATCTTAGAATTGTGGTTCGTATTGACGAATTGTTCCCGTTCTGAATGTTTGTCTTTGTGAAAAAGTAAACTGCCTCCACGATAACGGTTTCGTAAGTAACGGTTTTAGAAAAAAAAGGAAGAGAATAGTTAATATAATCAGTCGTTAACTACGTTACGGAAATCCATTATACAGAGTTATTTTTCAAAGAGTAGCCCAATTTTAAACTTACTTACTTACTTACTTACTTATCTTCACGCACAATCCTTGACGGGGTAGCCAGAGAGAACAGATCGCCAAGTGTCACGATCCTTACATACCTCTTTCGCTTCTTTCAGATTCATTATCTTCTTCATACATGCACGTCTAGGTATCCGAGTACTCTTAACCCTACCCTCTTCGAGCAATTTGCTCACATGGTCTTCGAAAGTTAGTATCGGTCTACCTCGACACCTTTTAATATTAACTTTCGCGCTATATATTTTCTTCACCATTCGGTCTTCACTCATTTGCTCAACGTGCCCAAACCACCGAAGCACGCCCTTATCAATTTTCGTGATAAGGTCATCTTTCAAACCTGCCATATTGCGAATCTCTTCGTTTCGCTTTCGGTCGGCCATGGTAACGCCGCACATTTTACGAAGAGATCGCATCTCCACTGCATTCAACTTGCTTTTATGCTTCTTCTGGCATACCCAGGTTTCGCTGCCATATAACAAAGTCGGTACCAACACTGCGTTATGTATTGCAAGGCGTGCACTCTTCACCACGCCTTGCCTTTTGACTAACGCAGTCAGGGCACCATTGACTTTGTTCCCGGCAGCGACACGCCTGTCCACATCTAAATCACATCTTCCATCCCGGCTAAAAGCACTCCCCAAGTATACAATTTCATTTACTTGTTCTAGACATTCCTGATTTACCCATATTTCACACTTCGTTCTCTCTTCGTCCCTTTCAAATACCAGAACCTTAGTTTTATTAGCGTTCAAACGGAGACCTTTAATTTCACATTCCTCTTTCATACACGTAACTAATGCCTGCAGTTCTGCCTCTGATGGTGCAATAAGCACTGCATCATCAGCATACAGCAGACAATTTACTTTAATGTCACCCAATTTCACACCCAAACAGCTATCTTTCAGCTTTTGTAAACAGCTGTCGAGATACAGTATGAACAGCCAGGAAGACATGACACAACCCTGTTTTACGCCCGTTTGGACGCTAAACATGGGTGACAGGTCATGCCCTACCCGCACACAGGCTTTACAGTCACAGTAAAGAGACTGCACAGCCCTTAGCAATCGACCATCCACACAATACCCCGGCAACAGTTCCCACATTTTCTTCCTTACAACCTTATCAAATGCTTTCTCAAGATCCACAAAAGCACAGAAAATCCTCTGGTTAGCAGCCAGAAGCTTTTCCGTGATCATGCGGAGAGAAAACATTTGATTCGTGCATCCTCTTCCAGGTCTAAATCCGCATTGTGCCTCCCATAGAAATCTTTCCGATTTCTCTTGCATCCTACGTGTCAAAACCTTCGAGTAAACTTTACTTGCTAAACTGGTCAAGCTGATCGCCCGATAGCACCCGCAGTCAAAATGTGAACCTTTACCTTTATATAAAGGCACAATGACTGCGGATCGCCAATCATCCGGGACATCCCCCGTCCGCCAGCACAAATTGCACAGCAGATGAAAACTGTCGCGAGGCCCACCATACTTGACCATTTCAGCAGTAACTCTGTCTAGTCCCGCAGCCTTACCACATCGCACGAATCGTGTGAACTTTCTGCAGCCTATATCTTTCTTTCATCTTCTCTCTCATATCCTTATAATTACTAGAGGCCAAGTAGTCTAACCATGCTTTCTTCTTCTTCTTTACAGCTTCTTTCACTTCATCATTCCACCATGTTCTGCCATGTTCTTTCTACACATTCGTTTCTGCCATCGATGGTGTCAAGCTTTTCGGCTACCCTCGCATGATATTTGTCCCTAGTATCCGCTTCCTGAAGCTTCCAGCTTCGGATGCGACAGACCAACTGTGGTTCTGTCACTGCCTTTTTAAACTTAAGTTCAAATGTATAAATAATGACATACCGTTATTGCAG